AGATCATAGACATCTACATCTATCCTCGATTACAAATCAAAATGCAGATGCGTTGTCACCCGTGATGACTAAGATGGAGTGCCTCGTTTCCAGTAAAAAGGGTCTCCGGTTCTCTCTACACTGACCATACAAACACAGCAGCATTAAGCTACTATTCCACGCTGGCATTCTATGAGAGCGTAGTCCTTTCCCCGTCGAGCCGACCCATTCGTGCTACAACTATACTACTAATATAACTGCAGCATGGCTCTACCATGTATAATTTAAATATAATTGTTGTTTATTGTTGGAAGATTTCCTAAAGCCTTTTGTTAACCATCTTAACTGGGCTGACCTGTTGTTTGTTTTGACCTTGATCTTAGGAAAAGAAAACTCATAGAATAAACGGAATACTTTATAAATATATCTAAATGCTTCTACTAACTTTTGTGATTCCATGATCTCGGAAAGAGAGGCTGGAAATGCAGCTGCAATTTTTTTTTATGTTATCCATGCTATAGTCCCGTTTGTATTCAAACCCTTTTTTTATATAACACTTTGTTTGTTTTAAAGGTTATAGTTTGCGCAGTTTCGTGGTCTGAAAGATCAAGACAATGAACGCCCGACTACATATTTTATGTTACTTGCAATTTGTTCCAAATAAGACTCCTCTTGTTGGCATTTGAATGTGAAGTTAAAAATTGTAACTTTTTAGTGTGCTTTTCAGGTCTTCGATATGCTTATTATGCTTGAGAATATCTAGATTCCAATCTACCCATATAACAACTTTTTTTCTTTCATATTTACTCTTCAAATAATCTAATAATCTATCAAGTTTATGCAGAAACATGCTAGAAGCCTTTTTTCTGTCCGGAGTTCTGGAAATTGTACAAACAATTAGATTCAAACCTATGATTTCTATGTTGCAACATTCAAAATGTAATTTAGTAGCCAGTCTAGACCCTATTGCCAACGGTTTGACATCCGCCAACTTTTCAACTAGTGTTTAACGAGTTTTTAACTAGTGTAAAATGTCAAGTTTTTTACAGATACTTGCTATATTTTAATGCATTATTGTTCTCATATTAAAATCACAATCAGACACTAAGTTAATTGGATTTTGCAAATTTGGAATAAATTCAGGTGGATGAATTAGGAACGAAAAAACAGTTTTATGTTCTTGTCATTACTCCGTTTTATGTCATTTATGATGTACTCATATTTATATTTTAAATAATCGATCTCTACATTCAATTTAATAGTGATATAATCCAATTTAGTAATTATCTTGCCTTATCTTAAAAGTTATTAAATTGCTGGACGTCTATGAAACTAACTAACGTCTATGGAAAACCTCTTAGAATGGCACTAGTTTAGATACAGGGTATGATATGAATGCAGCAGTAGTAGATGGATTAAAGTGTGCCGAGTAAAATTTTAATATTTTTAAAAGACTTATTAATAATTATACTCTATATAATCAATAAACATATTTTCAAATGTTTTAATGATTTATTCTAATAATTTTTAATTCAAAAATTGGCACTCGTGAATTTTCTTTATCATTTATTTTGTTTTTGATGAACTTTTGTTCTTAGTTTTAAAGAAAAATGTATTAATTTAAAAAAACAAATTAAAATAATTAATTTAAAATTAACCCTGGTGCAATTGTAGCGCCACCTAATTTAACGCATTTTAACAATTTTTCATACAGAGATAGTCCTCCTTATCTCTACCCTACATTTATTTATATTTTAAAAATAGTGTACATTCTGGCTTACAGTATGCCCAAAACGTCAGCATCCTAATTTACAAATTAGTTTTAAATAATAGTAATAATATAAGATACATGTCAAAAGGTCCAATAATTGTAAAGTGCATAGCGAGAATGTAAAAATGTAACAACTTCAATACATCAACAAACTTTAACAGTTGAGACGTTTCATGTTCATGTTCATTGTTGATTAACTAAACGTAACTGTCGTCGTCGGTTCGTGTCCAACTTAGACCGCCACTCGTCGTATAATTAGTCGACGTTTTAAGTCTAATAGAACTTTGTTAAGTGACCGCGGCGACTATTGAGAACAACACTTTATTAATAATTGTAAAGTACATAGCGAGAATGTAAAAATGTAACAACTTCAATACATCAACAGACTTTAACAGTTGAGACGTTACATGTTCATGTTCACTGTTGATTAACTAAACGTAACTGTCGTCTTCGGTTCGTGTCCAACTTGTCAACGTGTTCGTGACCGCCACCCGTTGTATAATTAGTCGACGTTTTAAGTCTAATAGAACTTTGTTAAGTGACCGCGGCGACTATTGAGAACAACACTTTATTACATATTAAGCTATTTAGCTGACGTAAAGTTTACTATATAGATTTAAAGCTATATAAAAAAAAATCTAATAAAAGGTATGTAAGAAGGAAATTTAATAAAAGTCCCAGCTAAATAATATAAAAATCGCGAGGTCTTTACAAACTGAAGTAAATATTACCTACATAACAAATCCTGAATCAAATTAAAAGAGCTAGACCAATAGATCCTCATGAACGTAGTATTGTAAAAACAGAAGGTCCATTGTCATTATAACAATAATAATAATGTCCTCCAGACCGAAATTTTGTCATAGTGGCCAGTCTCAATGGAGACTAACCATCTGCGTAAGACAGGATTATAGTGCCTAAGCATATGCACAAGCGGCACAGGTGAACTTTTTATTCCCTCACTCTCATAGTCCGATGACATCACCTAATAGATGATGACCAGGCACAGGACCAAAGGCTTACGTGTTTTCCGAGTCAGGGGGTGAAACACCGCCAACTCCTTAACTCCGGGCTGCTACTGAGAATTTCTTTACAAAAATGCTTACAACTGCTGAACAACAACAAAGGAGTCATTGTCATTATCATACTATCAGCCTATCATAGGCTTCCCCCATAGAATTCGTCATTAGTAAAGGAGGCGGATATTTGCGATAGTTGCACTGTAGTGTGTGTGAACAGGCGGCACACAGGCTTGCAACCGCTGTTCTATATTATTTCGAATTGTTAGCAAGGAGATGCTGCCGCCCACTTCATGTTTAGTTTCTTTCTGTCGCCTCTTATGAGACTCGCGGAATGGTAAGGGGCATTGAATTCTCTAACACTGCCACCAGACGTAAATAATAGAAACGATATACAAAAACATTCATTTTTAGAGACATTCCTTGAAGTGGAATTGAATTTTTTTGTAACAGGAAAAGAATACTTTGATGCTTTAAATCATTAGTAAAAATACTTGCAACATTTATAATTTAACTCCTGGAACAAGATATCCAGTTTCTAGCGGTATAGCCATAGTATAGTCATAGCCACTTGATGGTGATAATTTATGGACATTGACTGTGACAATAATTTATAATTGGTAATATTTTTATTACTTCAACGACTGCCGATTCATAAAAAACTTATACTGGAACCAGCGTGCAAATATAAGGGTCAATGGAAAATCATTGTCATACTTTGACATAGAAAGAGGCGTACGACAAGGATGTATTTTGTCACCCTTACTGTTTAATTTGTATGCTGAAGCCATATTTTCAGAGGCACTAGATAACAGTCCAGATGGCATATCAATTAATGGCAAATTGTTGAGCAGCATTAGGTACACAGACGACACGATATTAATCGCCGATAGTCTTGTGGGTCTTCAAAGGGTAGTAGATTCAGTGGATTCAGTAATACCGTATTCAACACTAACTTCCGTTAGTGTTGAATACGGTATTAACATCAATACCAATAAGACGAAGTACATGGTAATAAGCCAAACACCTGAGCTTATCACATCTTTATCCCTAAAAATGGTCAGGGTCTTGAATGGGTCACCAAATTCAAATATCTAGGCACAATGGTTGACGACACAGGAGATCACAGCCTCGAAATACGTTGCAGAATAGAGCAGACACGCAACGCCTTTTCGAGAATGAAAAAAGTTCTTTGTGACCGGAACTTAAGTATTTCTCTTCGAATATGCATAGCGCGGTGCTATGTCTTTTCTGTACTTCTTTATGGTGTAGAAGCTTGGACGCTGACCTTGTCTACAAAACTGGAAGCGTTCGAGATGTGGGTGTACAGACGTATGCTAAAAATTTCTTGGAGAGACCGCGTACGAAACACCACCGTGCTACAAAGAATGGGGAAGGTCACAGAGATACTTACAACCATAAAGAGGAGTAAATTGGAATATTTTGGGTATGTGATGCGTAACACCAAAAAATATGAACTCCTTCAACTTATCATTCAGGGGAAAGTGGCAGGCAGAAGGAGGCCTGGCCGCAGGATATCGTGGCTGAAGAACTTGCACCAGTGGTTCGGGAAGAGCACAAGATCACTGTTTAGAGCAGCGGTCTCAAAAATTGAAATCGCCCTAATGATTGCCAACCTTCGCAAGGAGACGGCACCTTAAGAAGAAGAATATTTTTTTTTAATTTACGGATTTTTATGAATATACTCTATAATACCAATAAACTCACCTCAGAATGCTAACGCATTCCCTATTTACAAGTCGCTCATCAAGGCTCATCTTTCGTGACGTTTATACTACTAAGTTTACTAACTTGTGATGGCGCGTAGTGAAATTTTTATCATGTTAAAGTTGAATTTTTTCTTGTTAGAAGATTTAAGGAATAATTAAAAAAACGTCATTAAATATTATATAGCTTATAAAAGAAATACGATTTTAATTTAGCACACTTTAAGGTTACCTATCACAACCCTAGGACAATGGTATGGAATTGGTATTTTCGCGAGTGTTTGTGATATTTTATTCTCATATATTTTACGTCCTCCGGCAAGAAAAGTAGGTGGTTAAACAACTTTTCATACTGTAAGTGATTATGCAGGATATTATAAAAGGATAATCCCGAATTTGCCTGCGTGTAATGCATTGGTTTTTGGTAATTTTTACCTCGGCGATACTTCGAAGTGTCACTAAACTTTAGTTGGGCATACAATATAACAAGTATATATGACATACCTGAGTCTGCTGCGGCAGCATCTGATGCATCTGCAGCCTTTGCTGCTGCGGCTGCATCATATGTTGCAGCTGCGGCTGCTGCTGCACGGCGCCGCCCAGTCCCACGCCGCCGACGCCAACGTTTCCAACGCCGCCAACGTTGCCTACGTTTCCTACACCGGCGACTCCGCCGACGTTACCAACTGGGCCAACGCCACCAACTCCACTGGCGGCTTGTTGCTGATTTTGGGCGTTCTGAAAATTAGCAAACATATTTTTTATTTTGGGGTTTTATGTTCTTGACAATAAAAACTGGCGATTGAGTTACCAAAATTGACACTTTAATTAACGAAGACCAATTACAACTTAAAACACACTAATAATAAAACACAATTGTACTACTGATCACTTTAGTTCGCAGTTATATAGCTTCGAAGTATTCGCTTGTATTGCCAATTCAATACTGACTCGGTCGCAGTCCTTATCGGCCTTATATAGGGATCCTTCTAGTGGAACATCTAGAATGTGCGAGTATATATCGGTGCCGACCGACTAGGTGTAGAAAGTTCTAGCATGGACATTTCTAGAAAGATCTTGGCTAAGTTCTGCTACTCGATACTAGATGGTACTAGTAATAACTCGCCATGTACCAAGCATAAATTAAGGCGCGCAACACTGCCCCTCCTAAGACATGCTTGTCCCGAGCATAACCAGCCCCTGATGATAAGTCTACATACAACACATAGATTAACCAGTATCCGTCGATCAGCTAATGCTACCATACCAATGACATCGATGACGATCGATCGATCGGTAACATCCTTAGTCCACAGAGGTCACAATGCATCTGCAGGCTTCTTTGTTTGAAATTATCTACAGGTCTCCATGGAGTGCGTCAGCCACTTACTACTATCAGGTGGACCGCTAGTTTGTTTGTCATTTTAATATTATAATGGAGACGATAATCTTTTTGTCTTTAAATTTTTTTCTAAGACAATTTGTATAAAATATATCACTTCTATTTGTCTTAGTCCATTCTTACAGTGTACGTACGGAAATAAACTTCAATGTGCACGATAACAACACATTCATTACACATGCAATAATAATGGTAAGTAAATAATATAATAGCGCAATAGTAAAGGTCACAGTAACTCTGATTTCAAGTGATCAAAAGGCTACAATGGGATTGTGGCCTTTGCTTTGCATAAAAAATAGTTATTGATTACACCTAAGCCACCATGTGTCAAAAATCGTCCTGAGGATGTCGTAGAGGCGACCAAGGAATACTAAGAGGAAATGGTAATTATAATTCAAAATAACTTTACAACACATTAATTTTTTAATATGCTGATCTGTCGTCACTGTCACTACTTACTGGAACACTCTTCCAGATTATTTGACATAATCACCATACTCATTAAGCAGATGAGCAATCCATATTGTAAGGTTTTGAAATGGGTGTTTTACTTCTATCAGATATTAAAATTTATTGACATAATCCTTTAGTGTATTTGATTGCACCACATGATAAAAAAAGTTCTTTTAGAAGCTATGACTCACTTGTCTTTGCTTGATAAATGCTGCCATTAAAGGAGGATTAGACTTGAGTATCTGTAGTATCTCCTGCTGCTGATTGTGACTTGTTGGTGAGCGCAGCGTCGCCATGAGTTGCTGTAGCGCTTTCTGATGTACTTGAGGTTGCGTTTGCTGTTGTTGAGGCGCTGGCGCTCTTTGCTGCAAAAGCAATTAAGATATGATATGATTAGAGATGTTATTTCAGATAATTTATTTTATTAAGCATCTGGTCTTGCATTATAAGCAAAATTAATAAACAATGAGAATTAAACGAATTATAAAATTAAAATAAAGATGTCGATATTATGTCTTTTTTATTCAGTTTATTTTATTGTGGCAGAAAACTGCGGTGACCTGTAACTCATATCTCATGCACATGTATATGCTGCATGGTGTAGTCTACCACTAGTGTACTGTCACACACTTGCATCAGCGGCATCCGCCTGTGCTCATATAGTCACATACCTGTGTCTATGACACTACTGATTACATAGAAGTTTCGGAAAAAATCTCTGTCCTGGGAAGAATCCGCAAGAGACCCAGAAAATAGTTACAAAACCGTTACAGTCGCGCATCTCCACCTGCGACACTCAGTGCTCATCTACAGTCGCGTACCTGTATCCACGACACTCCACTGCTCATGTACAGTCGTCACGCACTGATAACTGTGTGCTTGTGTACCCTACCTGCGTGTACCTTGTGTACCTGCCATCAGCGGTACTAGCCGGCTCGTATAGATTCGTGCATCAATAATTACGCCCCGTACGAACGATGGTGTTTTAATCTCACTAACGGTTTTTTTTAATTGTATTGTTGGGGCACATTGATCATTTTTTAGAGTGCGTGAACTCGAGAGTCAAAAATGACTATCGAGTACCGTCAGAACGGAAAGTTAGAGTAGTAAATGTAAGTTTTCAGTAATGTAAGAAAATAATGATTAGGTTTACTACCTTTACCTTTACTCTTAAACAGCAAAGTAAGACTCGCTCGTCTTTGTCAAACAAAATATGTACATGCAAACATCTGCATTCGACGAGCAGGTAAGTAGTACCGGTGCGCAATTATGTGGTTTGCGTGGTGCCGTACAATGCGTACAGTGCCAATGACGGTGAGGTGTATCTACATGTGCACGTGGTGTGCGGTATGCGCGGTGCGGCTGAGCGCGTACCTGCATCTGCTGCGCGGCGAGCGGCTGCTGCGGGTGCTGTGCGAGCTGCGGGTGCTGCGGGTGCTGCGCGTGCTGCGGCGCGTGGTGCGGCAGGCGCGCGTGGTGCGGCGCGTGGTGCAGCGGCGGCGGCGCGCGGTACCGCGGCGCCCAGTCGCCGCGCGCGCCGCCCGCGCAGCCCGGCGGGCCCATCGCCGCCTGCTTGCCGTACGACGGCGCCTGCTGCCGCGCCGCCTCCTCCTGCACCTAGTACGCGATACGACCACACCTTATTCAAATATCATGTCAACATTATTAAAAAAAGGAGAATAAACAATAGTTTTTGTCAGTTTTTATAAGAGCTTTTGCAACTGATGATACATTTTTTCTTATTATATATATATTCATTATGACGACTAAGATGGATTGCCCACAGCCTGTAGTTAAATTGATCCCCTTTACACCCAGAAAACGACATTGTGCGCGTTACTGACTTGGCCGCAGATATAGATAAAAGGGTGGTACCTACCTAGACAGACTTCTGAGCAAAAAAGGCCTAGTGAGGTAAATTTTAACGTTCACAGGAAATTTTACAAAGCTTACACTGAAACTATTGTAGCACCAAAGTCAATAATACTTCACATAAACATTTAAAGCAGATGATATTTCGCTATGCAATACACTTATCATGAAGCATTAATTTGGTGCTATTATGCCATCAATTTTATGACTATTATGCACTTTCTCCATACCCTTCAGACAGCATTGGAAACACTGTTATTTGGCAACAACACCAATACATATAAGAATCATATATTGTTTGGATCTGATGAGCATAGTAAAGTTAAGTAAAGTTACAGCCTATATATGTCCCACTGCTGGCACAGGCCTCCTCTCATTTTTGAGAGAGGGAGGATGAGCATATAGGAAAGAAAAATAAAAGTATGGTTAAAGCAAGTGTTTGTGTTGGTACCTGCTGCAGCGCCTTCTGCACGTTGGTGGGCAGCGCGTGGGCGGCGTGCGCGGCGTGTGCGGTGTGCGCTGAGTGCGCGTTGGGCTTGGCGGGCGTGCTGGCGTGCGGCGGCGAGCCCAGCGGCGCGGCGGCATGCGGCGGCGACGCGCCCGTGCAGCCGCCGCGCGTGTTCATGGCGGCCATGCGCCGCCGCAGCAGCTGCTGCTGCTGCACGCGCTGCTGCACCTGCTGCTGCTTCAGCTTCTGCTTGATGCTGCTGCAGAACGGCACCGAGCACTTCGTCTCCTGGCAGTGCTTCGCGTGGTAGCAGCACAGCGCGATTAGCTGCTTGCAGATCGGACAGTCGCCCTTCGTCTTCCGCTTGCAAATCTTCGTGTGCGTCACCACCCTCTTCATCTTCTGACACGACGGCAGCCGGCAGTTCGCGTCTCGGCACTGACACGCGTGAACCAACGACTGTATACACCTTTGGATGGACAGTTTCCGCGCCTCCTGCGGATTCGCCTGCTTCATATCTCCCGGCGATGAACCGACGTCGATGTCCAATCCGAGTTTCTCCATTTTATGCGGATGACCCTCTTTCTCATAACAAGGCACGCACAAGTCAAAATCGTCGCAGACAGTACAGTGATACCTCGTCTCGACGTGTGACTTGCAACTGTTGCATGTGTAAACGAATTTATCTTGACCTTGGTTGTGGAGCTCGTATAACATACAAAGCGTAGAAAACCTCGCCCGCCTCGTCGATGAAAATTCGTAATGCCTGTCTCTCGCCATCGTTAGGAAAGCGTCGCGACCATCCATGAGGTCACAATTAGCTAATGGATCAGGGTCTTGGATTGGCTACAAAAAATTAACAAGTATTATTAAGAAATCAAACTTTAATAAAGCTTCTGAATTACTAAATTATTTATTTCTGTTATTTTACTTTATTCTCATTAAAGTAATTGCAAAATTAAAGTGAACAAGAGTTTTATATCATTCATAAAATAATGATCAATAACATCACTATATTATTCATATCCTTACTCCTATTTATCAGTTTATTTTACTGTGAGATTTTAAAATCTTGAAGATTTTAAAATTTAAAACCAAAAAAGAAATAGGTTCTTTATACATACATGTAATTGAGGTTTAGAAATTTAGAAATAAAATATATTTATTGTATACTATCACAAAAATAACCCTATACTGAAATAAGTATGTTGATTTGTTATTTATTTATAATAGAAAAAGATTTAACTCATTCAAAAATGTACATAGAGTTTACAAAAATAACCTATAATTTAATCTTAATTTAAGTCTTCTATTATAATTTTGAAAAAGAAATGAGAGGAAAAAAACGTCAATAAAATATTGTATAATTTATATCCTTATTCCTATCTATCAGTTTATTTTACTGTGAGATTTTAAAATCTTGAAGATTTTAAAATTTAAAATCCAAAAAAGAAATAGGTTCTTTATACATACATGTAATTGAGGATTAGAAATTTAGAAATAAAATATATTTATTGTATACTATCACAAAAATAACCCTATACTGAAATAAGTATGTTGATTTGTTATTTATTTATAATAGAAAAATATTTAACTCATTCAAAAATGTACATAGAGTTTTCAAAAATAACCTATAATTTAATCTTAATTTAAGTCTTCTATTATAATTTTGAAAAAGAAATGAGAGGAAAAAAACGTCAATAAAATATGGTATAATAGTTCTGTAGAAGATAATTCTTGTCTAAATGAAAAAAGAATTGGATTTAATGCTTTTGTATCTTTTGTTTTATTATAATAAATATTACATTATCCAAAATTATATAATCACATTGTGGTATATGTGTATAATATACATAGTTAAGTTTTTGCAGTATCATAATTTTAGCACAAGTACTATTAAGATCGGAAATGTTTGAGGAACACTTTTTTTTGTGTTTCATAAAAATTATGCTAAATGGAGCAGGTAATATTGAATAAAACTATTATTTACGGATTTTATCGCGTTTAATTCAACTTTAATTTATTTTTATTATCCCGACGTTTCGGATGCTTTACAGCACCCGTGGTCACGGGGGGACTGAGATGTTTGACGTCCCAATGTCATAGTTAGTCCGGCTACCTTCAGTTTTTGAATATTAATTTTTGGTCCGATTTAAGCAAAATGAGCTTATAGTATCATGAAGTCTTGCAGTGGTATGCTAGACTAAAACATCTAGGAAGGCTAAAGAATTATTTGCCTCTAACTCCATTTAGTTTTAGTCATCCGAAATCCTAATAACACTATTGGTCACAATGTGTATAGAAAAAAGACCCATACCAACCGATATCTAAATGGTGAATCTCACCATCATCCTTCACAGTTAGCTACCGTGGGTAAATCTTTGTTTCAGAGAGCACGAGGGATCTGTGACAACAATGTGAAAACAAGTGTGAAAACATCTCGCCGCCGAGCTTCAGCATGTCAAGCAAGTATTGCAAGACAACAAGCTTCGGGTCCCGTGCCTACGTCACAGTGAACGAGTGAAGCCGGCCACAGTCGAGCGCGCGCCTGCTGTACTACCGTATGTTAGAGGAGTCACAGACAAGATTGGCTACATCTTGAAGCGAGTGTCCATTAAAACATACTACAAGCCGCCGAAGAAGATTAGTCAATTTTTACCATCCATCAAATGCAATATTCCTCTACAAGATGCAGGTGTGTACAAGCTAGATTGTAAATGTGGTCTCTCTTACATAGGTCAAACAAAAAGATCTATTAAGACCCGCGTGAAGGAACATATATCTGACGTAAAGCACCAACGCTCCGGGAAGTCTGCAGTCTGCGAACATGTTCAAGATCGTCCCCACCATTACATTAGATTTGATAAACCACAAATCCTCGCAAAAGAACACCGATTCCTACCAAGGATGATACGCGAGGCTATTGAAATTAAAAAACATCCAAATTTCAATAGAGAAGATGGATGGGTGCTGCCAGCTGCTTGGGATCCTATAATTTACAAAATTAAACCCAAACCCAAGCATACCACTGCAAGACTTCATGATACTATAAGCTCATTTTGCTTAAATCGGACCAAAAATTAATATTCAAAAACTGAAGGTAGCCGGACTAACTATGAGATTGGGACGTCAAACATCTCAGTCCCCCCGTGACCACGGGTGCTGTAAAGCACCCGAAACGTCGGGACAATAAAAATAAATTAAAGTTGAATTAAACGCGATAAAATCCGTAAATAATAGTTTTATTCAATGTGTAGTGTTCACGTAAATTTAAGAAATCATTATGAGCAGGTAATAGTTAAACATACAAAACACTTACCGCTAAGCTTGCCGCTGACTGCGCGGAATGTAGCCTTATAACAAAGAACACCTCCTTATGTTTCTCCATGGTTGCAAATATTTTTGCACTGAGATCACTACCCTGCTGTTGGTCGCTCTGCTTCTTACTGTTTTTTCTCTGAGCGGCCTTGGATTTGTTCGACTTTTTTGCTTTTTTCTGTCCTTTCTTTTTTCCATCAGGCCCTTGTTCATTTTCTTCGGAAGACTGGAATATCTAAAAGCATGTTAGGTATGTTCTCTTATCTTGTAATATAAGAATCAATTTTAATAATACGATAGTAATGAAGTTTGGTATTTAAATTATTATCATATTTTATGATTATTGTAACATTTAAGACTTGTAGTTTTATTTTCACAATAAAAATTATGCAAACAGTTTATGTCAAGTGGAAAAAAGGGCAAGTTATGATATTATACTGACCACTGCTTCAGCGGCTTCGGCCTGCTTTCTCTTTTCCTCCTCTTCTTGATCTAGTTCCTTGATAGATTCCTCTAAGACGTTCGGCCAGAAATCACCCTCGAAGTAAGGGAGCTCCGCTGCTGAAGAGATATTGTCCTCCATTGCTTGCTTAAGAATATCTTTGTAATCTAATATTATTCTCTCTATGATACCCTTATCTAACATCTTTTTGTACCACTCTTGTAACCTCTTAGGTTTAGGTATCTTTTGTTCAGGCGGATGGCAGTGAAAAATGTAATCGTCCCCTTCAGATGGTGGACAGGCCCATATGTGGGCCATTGTGTAACCCAATTGTTTAGCGTAATCCAAATAACCTAATAAAATCTCATGATATACAGCAGTCCTATACTGCCGAGGTTGGAAGAAATGAACAGAATCTAGATATGCTATATAAACTCGCCTCGTGTTGGGCGACGGACTTTCGCTGCCGTATTCCTGAAACAAATTTGCGTATTAAACACAACTATTTATTAAAAACAGTGTATTTCTAATTAAATCAAGTGATATAATTGAGACAGGGTTTACCTGCACATGCATCCCAAAGAAACAAATATCAGCCCCATCAACCTCTTCAAATGCGAACAGTGCTTTCGCCCGATACGGGAATTCAGCACACAACTCTCCTGATTCTACAAATCTAGACCTCATTCCAGGCTTTACTTCTACAATCTAAAGAGTGAAAAAAGAACATGTTTAATATCTATTAATAAATGTGTTTAGTCATAGTTACATCAAACAGTTAACAACATACTTTATCAGACGACGCGACAACTCTGATATGGACTTCGCCTGCGCCAGCCTCTTTCTTCTTAAGAAAATTATTAACCCTCGTCTCAATATAAATGCCAAGTTTCGAAGTGGGTAACTTCTTTGCACAGAATTTGTTCTCTTTCCGTTTCGCCCCTTTCTTCTTCAAACAATTATCACAGCAGAAGCCTTGGGGCCAAATTTGGTCATGGTGAAGCACACATATTTGATGCTGCTTTCTACCACAATCCATACAGATAACAAATGGTTCTTGTTCTAAATGATCGTTTTTCATCTCCTTAAATTGATCTTTCTTGATAGCTCTGAAATATTTAAATACTGTTAAAATAGTACCAAGAAGCAATGATCCCCAAGAACTTTACTTTTAATTTTTGGAAAGTAAAATACTTTTCAAAAAAATTTTTAAACGCACAAAATATATTTCATTTTTATTACTTGCAAATTTAAAATTATAAACAAAAGTAAATAGGATAATTTTTTCAAGGCAAATGTGAAAAAAATAAATAATTTTGTGATAGCATTTATTTTAAAAACTATGTGTAAAAATTAAAGTGTATATAATTAAAAATTTCACTTACGTTTGTGGCTGTAGCGGATCGTCTCCCAACGTGACGGTGTCGCCCTGGATGTCATTGAAGCATTTCTGGCAGAAGGTGTATCTATCGGACACAACCCCATATGCTTTTAGACTATATTGCACAATTTTCATCCGTAGCGTGTAGAGATGGTAGTGATGTGAAGCATGACAGGAACGTTTTGTGTGCAGACAAGGATGTGCGTGGAGAGGGCGAAAAAAATTTAGTAAGCAATGAGAACATAAAAAGGATTAGTTGTTAGACAGTTCACAAATATATAGTAGGCACAATACTACAACATTTTCTTGCAATGCTTTGAACGCAGGATAGCCGTAGTGACAACTAGCGGATTAATAGGAACAGAATACTACTCTGCTGCTCTACACAGGCCTGATTTGTATGTGTACTTTATGAAATATAAACAATAGCAACATAAGCAAAGAAACATATTCTCCGCTGCTATATATATATATATATAACGTTGATAGTAATCAGTATGCCTGGGCTTTGTTCATACATACTATTGTTAAAATGTTTTAGAAACAAAGTTATATAACTTTTCTAAGCATATAGAGATGTTTTTGATAAATTCGTTAAATGAGGAAAATGTATGGGAGTGATAAGTTGGGTTAGTAGATTGTGAAGTGCCGATACGCGGCGCGAGTAGATATTTTAAAAATGCTATCCTATCTGTTTCATACCGCTCGCTCTGCTCCCTCTTCGTGCGATAGAGAGAATTCTCAAAAATGTTTTTGAGGCAATTTTGTGGTAAGATACTTCATGCTGTATCGTTTTTTTTCTCTTCGCGCCTGATGTCGCCCAGCCTGCCTCGCTACGCATCGACGTTGTCAATTTGGCGATCATTTAAAACATTATTTTGCTAGTAATTCGTACACAGTAACTTACATGCTGCGGTTTAGGTAAGTAAATTTAGTAAAATGTAGAACTTACCCACAATACAAAAGTATATAAGTTCTATACTACCTACTCACTAGTCAATTTAGTGTCAAAGAGGTTGATATTAAATGAAAAAAGCGTTAGTGTTTCAGCAGTTTCTAATATTATATGGTTAAATGGTAGAGTCAAAACTCTTTGTACAATTTTAAGGCATCATTCGTGATGTGATCGGAGCCTGGGCTCTCTTGTTTTTAGTTCAGTCATTTTTGTCCTATATTTTATATACATTGCTGTGACTGTTGCTCTCTTGGGTTTTGGGGCTATATAGAGTTTTATAGAATTCGGTTACTATCATGTAATGTCTTTGCGTTTATTTAAGAGCGTAGATTCAAATTTACGTAAGTCACAACACTAAGTTAACTACTAGAAAGGGGTAACTAATATATGTTCGAATTGAAAAATATGTATTATATAGAATAGATTTCGTTCGATATACATTTATTCTGTTTCATAATGTAAAGATGATTTATCTAAATAACAATTTCATTGGTGTCGGCAGGGATCGAACCCAGGTTGCTCGCGTTTACGGCGAGCACTTAGCCCTTGAGCTACCATGGCTCATATCTTTTTATTTTATTTTATAATAACGTTACCTCCACACTAAGAATCTTTCCTAAGTATATTGTGTGTGTACAATCAGTTAACATAAGAACATAAATTTAACAAGGACAAACATCCAGCCCCAGAACAATTATTTGTAGGTAAACTCATTGCTAAGCAACTCCGCCAAAGAGCCGTCAAATATATCTTTTAAAGGGATAAATATTTAAGTTATAAATTGCTTACTATTAAATAAACTTGCAAAATTATTGATAATTAATTTAAATAATATCTTTTAACAAAGTATCATTCCTTGCGTTGTGTTGCGCTATCATTTATTCTGTGGATGCGCCTTCATCGTTTACGATAGTGTGTCCATATAAAATCGGGAATTTGGTTTTAAAATCGAGACAGTTACAATAGCAACAAAAACAGATTTTTTGTAGCCATTGTGGTCGCTATTAGTTATACTGGTTTTTTGACATAATTCGCAATGTGTTTTATAATTATTATATAGAACTGATCAAATGAACGAATAATGTTTGGTTCAAACAACGTTGTAGACTGAACTTTCTGAGTAATAATATATGTAACTGTGAAAATAGTAATAAATCTTATGAACTCACAACTTCAAAGAGTTCTTTATAAAACGGCATAGTTCAAACGGTTTTAATACCTCACACCTTGATAGCCTAGATAAAATTCTTGCATCGAACGTATAACGTTAATTTATTTATTGAAAACAACAGTACCTACAAACGATTGAAGACATTGAGTCGTAAAAGAACTTTTCCACAAGCCTTGTGTTTTATTGAATGTACTTATCGAAACAGCAGCATGTAAGTTAAATACTGTACGGATTATTATTACGATGCATAGCGCATACCGGCGATAGGCATCAGGCAGTGAGAAAAAAAAACGAGTAAACATGAGTGATATCTGCATCTTGCCACGTCAACACATTACGCACAAAGCAAACTTTGATGTTGCCCATTTAGTCCGAGTTTGGTGGGAAAATATGTAAAACAAAAGTATTTTAATGTAGTAGCAGCTTACAGATATATTCAATAATGCTGTCAAAATGATCGATCGAAATATAGGCTAGGGAGGTTAGTGAAAATTCGGGACATTAGGCGTCCCGATCAAGGGTGAATCGGGACGTCCCGCACAAATCGGGACACTTGGCAACACCAGCTTACGCTATCGGTGTGAATTAATCAATTAACACGTACGCGGACGGTGGCGGGAAAAAGTGATACGTCGTTGGGAAGACCCAGAGCGTACTGAAACGGACGACTTCTGCGCGTGATGATTTATAGTATTTTTAAAATAATCATGTAAAATAATTGACATTGATAAATAAACCGAGTTAATTTTTTTTTTGGATATTTAACATTACCTGTACTTTGATAAAATAATTAAAATACATAAGTTTATATCCCAATACACGGAAAAAAAGAACATTGATGTGGACAGTTTTGGTGATTTTATAGTTTTATTTTTTAATATTAAATCGAAATATTTTCTTAATTTAAGCTATGACATATATACACTAAGACTATATTCTTATAATAACGCTTAAAATAAAGTATTTTAGCTTATAATAACGGTTGTATTCGACCTGAAAGATAACCCTGACGCATATTTTCGTAAAACGCTTTGAAGGGATTGTCTTCGCTCTAAAAAACCGTCATTAAAAACTATTGAGCGGATAATATTGAAATCCTAATATTGAAGTCCTTCAATCTATCTAATGTTTGTTCTTAGTTCATTAAAAGCAGTTTACAACCTTCCCGTTTGCTTCAAATTTTTCTATATTATTTTAGATGTGTCTTACGTCGTCATATTTTTAATGTACTTGCTCTTACTAACTTGTACAGAGCCGATATTTCGTTCTTCATAGATCGTGTTTTGTTTTCTGTCTTCTCTTAACAAGCACAAAAATGTGCTCTGATAAGATTTTTACTTCTGATGTTTGTAGTTTTATTTGCTATTAAATTATTATTTCGTTAGATCATTTACATATAACAATTATAAAGAGCATTGTGTATTGTGTCAAACAAATTAGCATAACTCATGGCGGCAAGATTACAATAAAGCAACATATTTTTTTGTAGCCATTGTAGTAGCTGTCCTGATTTGAACACTGAACTCCGCATTAATTTCTACTTTTTGTCTCGAAATTTGACCCACTGGTTCTGGCCACACCAATGTCGGCTATGAAATGGATTGATATAAGACTAGAAGGGAGAGAACAGATGAATCGACTGCATTTAGGTTGATATGCACAAGAAAAGAGCAAGTGAAGGGATCACTTCTAATAGAGAAGAATGGAAGAGAATTATATATTTTTAATTAGCAACAAACATTTAAAAAAACTTCATATAAAGAATTCAAATATTTAATTTTAAAAATGAGCACAACAATTAAAAACATTGTTTTCTTTATTTACTTTTCGTCTCCCAATACGATGAAGTTTATAAAAATTTATAGTCTGTCCATATCTTCAAAAATTTATTTTCATTACATTAACTTCCATCACTAAGGCTCAATAATAACTATTTATGTAATTATGTGTTAACCTAATTATAATATATAATAGTAGTTAGGGCCTACGCCCACAGACGGCACGGCATGGCTCGGCGCGCGTCAAAGGATTTTTTCGTGGGGAAAGATTTTCAAATTTTAATGATTTTAGCACTGACATGTCTTTATTGTAACACACATAAATAAGACAGAAACGTCTCGCGTGACACCGCGTCTTGATGGTGCACTTCACGGCATACCAACGGATACTGCTGCACGCTACTGCATCACGTGAAATGCGGTAATAACTTTATGTTGGTTAAAGGAATATTAGTGCTAAGTAATTGAAACAAGGTTGAATCTAGACTGTTGCGGCGACAATCTTAGCGACTCGCGCGAGCGCCCGATACACGAGCGCGTCTTGACTTGTTTGGCATGCCGCGGGATGCCACAAGCCTTCGGCATGCCAAAGTGTATACCTTGCCACGCCGTGCCATCTATGAGCACAGGTCCTTAGTTACCAACTGTAGGTATCTGTTCATTGTTACAGGCATCTCAACACAGTCTGATATAAAATTTTTGAATCATTATTTAACCTTAGTGTCAATTCTATGACTGACTTAAAGTTGGCAGTAGTTGTTATATCATATAAATAAAAAAGAAGTTAAAAAAAGGAGAAGTGATAAATAGTAAAAAAATAGTTGTAGATTTAATCTTTTCTTTTATCATTTTTTTCACTATACTATAACATTATTAACAATGTGGTGGGTAGTGGCGGTGTAAGAAAATTGGATATTTTCTACTCTACCCCGTAGCGTCCCGCGCGTGTCGTGAGAGGCGGCAGAGGGAAACTGAAACAGGAGATGGGCAGCAGCATCTGCCTGATAACAACTCAAAATAATTTAAAACTGCGGTTGCCAACTCGCTTGCCAAATTTGACAACTATGGCAACATCGCCTCCATGAGAATTAATGGAGGAGGCCTATATTTAGAAGACTTATAGGCCGTTTTTTAATATAGGATAGGATGACAAACAAGCACACAGTCCACCTGATGGTAAATGGATGCTGTGGTCCATAGACATCTACATCTATCCTCGATTACGAATCAAAATCCAGATGCGTTGTCATCCGTGAGGACTTAGGTGGAATGCCTCGATTCCAGTAAAAAAGGTCTCCGGTTCTCTACACTCACCATGCGAAACACAGTAGAATTAAGCTACTATTTGACGCTGGTATTCTGTGAAAGCGTGGTCCCTCCCCGGTCGAGCCGATCCATTCGTGCTACAACTATACTACTAATATAACTACAGCATGGCTAGTACCACGTAGAAACTTCCGTGGTGGAAGATGGATACTAATACAAGATAAATTTTGATTACTTATTTAACGAAGCATAATGAGTGAATAAATAAAAACTAGTATTAGATATTAGGTAGCCATGGACATGTAATGTAAAATTTAAATAATTAACTGACTCTATTTGACTTATCAATAAATATTAGAAAACAACACGCCAAAATTATTTAATTATTCGCGAACAACCTCGAATTTTACTCAGGCTTATTCGTCAGTATACTCTCGAATAATCAATGTACACTCACTAACAAAAAAAAAACGGGTGAGTTTGATTTTATTTTGAAAAGCATACAGACGATATCTATACATAACGGAAGATCTAATTCCTCATGCACAACCTCCATTAGCCGCTCTTGACGAAAACTCAATTTTTATAGACACTCCCACCAGTCTGACGATGTGGAAGCGTATATACTAAAGGTCGGAAATCATCGCTTGGATTGTCCAGCTTGAAGTCCCGACCTAAATCCCATAGAGCATGTCTGGGAGGTTCTGTAGTCGACTGAGATCAGTGCAGCCGGCTCTGCAGACCTTCAGAAGGCTATAGAATGTGATTACCACGGAGTGGGAACGTATTTTGCAAGACATCATAAGAAATATACTCGCGTTAGCATCCTTAGACACAGCAAGCTGTGATTTTCAGCATGAAATTTTAATTTGCTTTTACTTTATTAAAGAAAAAACAAACAAAAAACTTATTTCATTACACACGACTCAAATATCTAAAATATGAAAAACGAGTAAAAATTATTGTCATAGCAATTCACTATTGAAGTAACTTATACCTCAAAATTTATCAGATATGAAAAACCACAGCAAATTTATTGAAACATTGTTTTTTTTTTCAAAACGATTATTTAAAAATCAATGCCTATTGTTTGTAATAGCTTTCATTTTGCTTATTCTATATAATCACTGTGAGCTTTTGTTTAATAATAATTTGTTTAGTTTAAAGTAGATTATATCTCCCGTACAGTGATATGTATTTGCCATGACGTAAAAAATATATAATTAACGGAACATAGTAAAATATTCAAATTTAAACTTAAACCTTAACTTTGTTTCTAAAACATTTTTTATTATTATATAATAAGCATTTGATTTTCAAAGTTCAATATTTATTTTATGACAGGCAAAAAACTAATAACATTTTTTGTGGAAGAAATAATCAAATTTTAGATATAATTATAAAATTCTTATCCAAAATTTGGATTTCATACAATACTATATGCCACCTTGAATCTAAATTTGAAACCTTTAAGAGTCAGGTCATAAACTGCGGCATAGTTTCCTGCTTTATGCAAATTAGATATTCATAAACACTTTATGAAGAAACCATCTCTCATTTCACGAATAATTCTTAGATTATTAAACCCAATTCAAATGAGATCATAAGCAATAGATAAGATAGCAAGCAAGTGGGAAATAAGCTCTGACATGTCAAGTTGTCAAATATGACCCTGCACATACATTCATAGTTATTTTTATTAGTATAGTTTAAAATAGTAGCTTTTTATATTTATTTTATTGTTGTCATAGTTTTCATGTGGAAGAAAGACAATCAATATTATATAGGACTCCACCTTTACATAAGTTTTTCTTTTTTCTCTCATTACTTAATGAAGGTTTTTGTTTGTTAATTATTATTATATATTTCAAATCTGTTTTACATAAAATTGGACGAATGCAGAAGTCACAACACTTGGAAATAAATTAAGGCTAGCTAATTAGCGTTACATAGAGAACTTCTGCATATATGGACATGCTACAATAGTTTACAGTTATAAATTTGTAGAGTCCATACATAGGGTCTTTTATCACAAGATCGACTGTTGAATATAGAAGTTTACGATGCAATGTATAGAGGGTTACTTTGCTCTGTTCCCTTTTTTACAAGTCAAAACATTTTGTATAAATTATCTTTAACTGCAGTAATTCCGCTCAATTTTTAGTAATTCCAATATACCACTTTGTTTTATATGATTGTCTTTTTCCCCCTTATCAAATCTGGAATAAATGTACAGTTGACTACAGTTACTGGATTTTACAAGTCAAAACAGTATAAATTATCAACTGCAGTAATTCCGCTCAAAGTAATTCCACTATACCACATAAGGATTGTTATCACTTACAACAAAAAATAATTAAATAGAAGTTGCAATCTTTAAACTAACTACAACATCTGAAAATGACTTAATTTTTCTGTACAGTCAATAGTACATTTAATCTTAGTCACATAAATTAATCTGCAAACCATTCTATTGTCTATACTATAAAGTTAATTTCAAATGAAATCAGAAAGATGGTAAACAACACAAAAGATCACCATTTTAGAACAATCGCAAAAAGATATAAAGGTGTTTTAATTACCAAAACATTCTACTAAAATCAATCCACTGTTGCTGTCAGAAAATTACGATTTTTTCGATAGAAATAGCATACATCGTTAATCGCGAACTAACAATAACTTGTTGGGTGGATAATTTGAGCAGCATGGTATTGTAACAAATAAACCAGTTCTTCATCATGCCAGAAAAGTTCGTACGGAACAAAATATTAAGTGTTCGTGAAAATGTAGGCGAAGAATCTACATTGTGTAACAAGCGACATTTGCAAAAACTGCAAGTTAAGAGGACCTCTCTACACACCATTCTGCAAAAAGACTAATTGTCTGTTTCCATATAAGGTTCAGAAAACTCATAAACTTATGCCTCGGGCCTCATGAACGCCGTCGTAACATCATTAGCTTTATGCTAACCAAATTAGGAAGTGACCAATAGTTTCATCAAATTTCTATAACAACAACAAAAAAATTCTATACGTGGGAGAGCCATGCTACAGCTACAATAGTTGTAGCATGATCGGGTTGTTATTTTACCAGCGTAAAATAGCAGCTTAACGCTGCTGTGTGTCGTACGGTCAGTGTAGAGAACCGGAGACCTTTTTTGCTGGAAACGAGGAATTCCATCTTAGTCCTCACGGGTGACAACGCATCTGTGTTTTGATTTGTCTATGGGCTGCAGGAACCACTTACCATCAGGTGGACCGTGTGCTCATTTGTCACCGATCCTATAAAAAAAATCATTGAGTTATGAAGCCCATTTCACCTCTAAAACTTAAATAATTTTTTTTGTTTGTTAGTCAACATTGAATAGCCTCTGATCAACAATCCAAGTTAGCAGTGAACTGGTTAATGAAGATTTTTATCTACTGTTTCAACTACAGAGTATTGACCGACTGTTATTGCATTCTGAGTTTAGTATCCATGTGACTCAAGACTTAAGTACGAAATTTTAACAAATGATTTTGATTGTTTCTGATTATTTGGCATTTGGTACTCCAATTTTTTGTGATTTGGGGAACATTTTTGAGAATTAAATACCAACTACTTACTGGAAATAATTTAGGTCATAAAGCCACATGTGACAACTGACAATGCATTTATCATTTTAAATCCAAGATAGGTAACGTGTCTTATGAGTGGTCAGGTATCATCATCAGATGTCTTTTCTAATCAGTCAGATAAGTGATTCATCTGATGATTTAAATATCTGATGGACACTAATAGAACAGGTAATTGTAAAGTTTTAAGTAAAAAAAAATTGATCAAGCATGAGACCACCACATGTCTTTCTGATTTCATTTAAAATTGGCTATGGTATAGAACAAAACCTCAATGTATGAATATAATGTGTTAATGTGATAATACTGACCTGTTCTGATAACTGAAGTACTTTGCATCACGAGGTATCGTACATAGTTGTTTTCCATAGCAGCAAAGCACTTGAGGATTGAAGGTATACTTCCTTCCACAACAATATCCCAGATTTTGCATGACGGGGTCAATTTCTTGTTCAAACACCTCTGACAGCTAGAATAAAAATTAGTTGATTAATATAGATATGATTAATATTGTCATAGGACAAATTAACCAAAATTAGCTAATTATATTTAGAGAATTGCATGCTTTTCACAATATTTAAATATACCATAGAATTTAATTCTCTAAGTTCATCCTTTACCGTGAGTTTGCACTGGTGAAACATACACATAAAAACATGTTTAAAATTCCGTTTTTGACAATGTATCGTATTGTGTTTGCACGCATATTTAGTTAAAATATAACTATAGCGGCCTAGCGGGCGGAATTCATTAATTACTGTTTAAGTAGTGTATTATTTTATATGTAATCCGTCGGATTACAAGGTACTCTTTTTCAAAAAGTTCCAGAACGAACTAGGGGGCTGTGGCAGTACTCTATAGTCCGGCAAATTCGACAATCCGATACCGCCTTGCAAAACGTTTGTCGGGTTACCGCGGGTCAACTGTTGACAATATTCTACATATAGAAGTGTAGGAGTCGTTGCCACCAGTCTTTATTATAAGGCATTCAATGTCATCACATTCTGAATCTATACTAAAATAATATTTTTGTTATTGGTTTACTCAAAATTCATCTTGAGGCACTTCACTGTCCTCCTAAGGACGAAAAAACTTTTTCTGTATACTTAGCAGTCAACAAAAACAAGCTTTCCCTACAAGATTTCGTTTTAAAATCAAAATTTCCTGCGGGTGTAGGTTGCACGCGGAGATCTTTGATGTATCGGCGGCGCCTCTGACAAAATGCAGCACGTGCCAAAGCGGCGCAACAAAAAGGTGACCGTATCTAATCGAACAGACTATTCGGGACAAAAAGATCCTCTTTTATATATAAAAATAGTGCCAGATACCCATTATATTTGAAAGTATCAATTTGTACTGACTTTATGTTTAGCAACTCTTATGGATAACAGGAAAACCAAAACAAATTACGAGACAAATCAAGCAACAATATCAACGCAAACCCAATGTCAAACAATATATATATATATATATATATATATACACACACATCCCGTAACTTATTGTACGTCCACTATGGCCAATTTTGCATATAATGTGGCGTCAACCTGCTTACGACGTCCAATATACGGACGTCAAATAGGAGACTTAGCGCAATGTTCGCAAATTGTCATGCTGATCACAGAAATGTCAAAATCTAAAAAAAAAAAATTGGACGTCATTTTTCTTCCAATCTTGCTGTACTGAATATTTACGTAGTTCCGCTAATTTTCGTTGCAAAAATAATAGCGCTGCTGTCGATTTGTGAATACTTTCATTTATGGGCGTATTTGACTTCCGCACAAAATTAGGAGATGCGACGTTGCCGTTCCGTCACCGTTGCAAACGTGTTACTTGTATTTGGCGATATATGGTTATGACTGCCTCGTTGGTCTAGTGGTTGTAGTAGTGCGGCTGCTGATCGTGAGGTTCTAGGTTTGAATCCCGGGTCGGGCCAAAAATTCAATTATTGAGTTTTTCTGTCAAGAAATTCTCAATAGCTGCCCGGAGTCAGGAAGTTGACGGTGTATCACCCCCTTGCCTCGGAAAGCACGTAAAGCCGTTGGTCCTTCGCCTGATCTCTCTCCGGTCGTGTCGGTTTACCGTCCCATCGGATTATGAGAATGAGGGAATAGAGAGTGCACCTGTGGTTGCGCATACACTTGGGCACTATAATCCTGTCCTGCGGCGATGGCTAGTCTCCGTTGAGGCAGGCCGCCGTGACAGTAATTCGGTCTGCAGGACATTATTATATGGTTTATACTGCGCTGGGTACTAATAATTTTACTTTTAAACTTGTTTTCTTAACCTTACATTTACCTACACATAATATGGACGTCCTAATATCCTAAAACTTTCATACTGAATGATATTTGACATCCGTATTTTTGAATTTAGTTATATTTTTATAAATGTAGATGCGGACGTCGGCTTATCGGTTTATTTCATGCTGCACTATATTTTAACATTTTACATTTGGTACTAATCTGCCTAAAAGAACTCTTGTTAGGTATTTCGTAAGCAACCCATAATTCTGTTTGAGTATAAGTTACCTTCTGATTGAGTACAGGAAGATGATCTCAATTGTAGGTATTGACAGGTTTCATAGAAGTTTGTTTTATTATATTGTGACTAATAACCTAATATGGTCTGGCGAAGAAACTCATTTTAATATAAGGTTTTACTGCATTAACTGCCAGTAGGTTGTTAATTTGTACAATAGACCGTGGCATATTGTTGCTGACAACTCCGAAAATATAATTTATTTACTTGATCGTGTTGAGTTTTGGTGCTCTCACTGCATCGTAAGGATGAGTGCGACTATTGTACCTAATCTGTACGAAATTACTCTCTACTTAACTAGATTCATTTTTGTGAAAGGCTATTTTTGTTAAATTATGATATTATGTTTGGTTTTGCAGTTAGTTGAAATACAATTTAATTTTTCACATACGTTTTCTAAGCTTCTAAGCGTTTTATCATTTCTAGAACGAAACATTTTATAAAACACCAAAGTGACTATTTTACACCGCATGGCCTCCCTACACTAAAATACGAATAAAACAATAGCGAAAAATGTCATTAAAGCAATGGTCATTAATGTGTGTCTTATACACAAGGAATTAAAATATAAATATATTCATGGTTATAGGACGTCAAATATCGTGCGGTACGAAACTTTGCCGATAATCTGACGTCCACATATAGAAATATAACAAAATTCAAAAATATGGACGTCAAATATTACTCAGTATGATTGTTTTAGGATATTCGGACGTCCATATTAATTATTATATGTAGCTAAATCTAAGGACACGAAAACAAATTGGAAAGTAAAATTATCTACTAGCACTGAGTACAGTATAAACCGACAAAAATACCAAAATATGCCTTGAGCACTAAATAAATAGTCAACATAAACAAATAGTAAAATGCAATTATCAACAATAACTTTGGACATTGGATATCGAAGAAGTGGACGTCAAATAAAACTTAGTGTGAATATTTTAGGATATTCTTACGTCCGTATATGGGTAAATACTCCGTTCAATGTCCATGTCAAGTACATTAATCAACTTACACAAGTTTATTTATCTAAGTTACTAAATATAACCAAAGAAACTTAAATGCAAGCAAGCATAAGCGTGGAAAGTTCTCAATGTGCGTAGGTCACAATACGGACGCCAATTAGAGCACGATATGCATGTTTTTAGTAATATAGCGTCCAATATTTATAACAACAAACACAAATTGTATTTCAACTAACTGCAAAACCAAACTTAATATCATAATTTAACAAAAATAGCCTTTCACAAAAATGAATCTAGTTAAGTAGAGAGTAATTTTGTACAGGTTAGGTAAATAGTTCGCACTCATCCTTAAGATAGTGATCATAAAAAGTAAACTCGCAGTGAGAGCACCAAAACTCAATACGATCAAGTAAATAAATTATATTTTCGGAGTTATTCATGTCAGCAACAATACGCCACGGTCTATTGTAGAAATTAACAACCTATTGGAAGTTAATGCAGGTTATTAGTGACAATATAAGAAAATGAACTTCTATTAAACCTGTCAATATCTACAATTAGTACTTATTTACAATAGTAAAATAAATAATAATATAGTCAATCTATAATGTTGTATAAGTATAAGTAAGGCAAGTATAAGGCTGGGCAATCCTAGATATTTTTTCGTATTTAGTAAACGAATAACTAGTTGATAAATTAATCATGATATCTGTTTTTTTTTCGCCGGAGACAAAAATGATATTGCGTATTTTTCATAACTGCACATTCTGTGGATTTATTTCATTATTTTGAACAATATACGAACCTTAAGTGACTAAAATTAAATCTAACTGAACCAGAATCATAAAAACTGTACTCGTATTATTCGTGCTAAAGGAATCTAATAAAGATCTGTTATTTTTGTCTCCTGCGAAAAAAACAGACTTTAGGAATCTATCGAATACCTACATAAACAAAATATCACCTACTATAAATAAAATATTACAAAGTGGAATAACTAATAAGAGTGGCAACATCGCACCATACAAAGGAATTGCGTTAAGCAGGAGAATGAATTAAAAACTATGTATATTACGGGGATTCTGGATAATTTGTAATATGTAAGGGAGTCCTGATTGGTTTCCCTCCGTCTGGCAATATACGAATATTTGTATATCGACATATGGTAAATTTTCAAAGAAATGAGTTAAACACTATCTTTGAAATTGTTTAATGGACCAATATTCGCAGTCATAATGTATAAAAATTGCCTACAAGTGGTGGACGCTACAATAATGCGAAATGAAAGGACGTAGAATCAATATTGTGATGTATACATATTACCTGGATGACCAAGCTTTGCTCGGTTTTAATTAAAAAAATTTAAGCAATTAGTTTAATTAAAATTTTGTTATTTTTAAAAAAATACTAAAAAAGGGCTTACAAAAGATGGAAATTTGAAAAAAAAGGAAAAAAAATCGGAACGGAGACAGGACGCGAACCAAGGCATTACGATTTCGTGACCGCTCTATATCCACTTGAGCTATTACGATCATTAACACAACGTCAAAATTTACCTTCTTATATTGTAGCAGTTTTTCATTGCCTGAAAACGGGGACAAAAAAACATTTTCTAAAAATAAATCCTAGCTAGATCGATTTATTGCCAACGAAACTCCCTGAACACTAAACTTTATGAAAATCGTTAGAGCCATTTCCGAGATTCCGGTTATATATAAATATACATACAAGAATTGCTCGTTTAAAAGTATAGGATATATATAATATGAATTTTTATTCAGTGTGAATGCAATCAGCAACAAATCTTAACAAAGTTTACAGTTTCATCGTGTGCAAACTCCAGTACTAACAGTGTCATGTGATGTATTTTATATGACAAGTTTTGGAACATCATGTTGGATGTTTTTGGTGCAACTGTAGGGTTACTACTTTACATTTCATTAATTTATTATTTTGATTACAAAGTAGAATATTTTGATTACAAAGTAGAAAGTAAGGAAAACTCTTACCTTTGTACAATACCTGTAGACCCTAGAGTTCTTTCTGTTATAAAGCCATGCATTCTCAAACATTAGCCATACATCATCCACATACTCCCATGGATCTTTATATTCACCCCTATCGAGCTTCATTTTGATAGTGGACAAATCTATAGGCTTCGTCACAATGTCAAAGTAATCCGGAATGCCCAGAGCTTGCGCATCAACAGGCTGCCTAAATGGAAGAGACTCTGGGTCCAGACAAAATAATTTTTCTAGTGTTGGCATTAAAGCCTGTCTCAATTCCTCAGGTTTGAAAACAAGCATTCTCTTTGGACCTCTATCTGTTTCGCCACTCACACTTGGAGGTCCTTCATTTGGTTCTTCTTTTATTTCTTGTTTTATTTCCTGTTTCACTACAAACTCTGTATGCCTCTCTGGCCTTTCCATAGGTTCTTTATCACTAGGAGTTTCGTCCCTCATGCCTTTTCCCCCACAGTCCTCGTCAGGCTCCTCCTTAATTCCCACTTCTTCAGGTTCCATTTTGACCCGAACATCTTCGGGACTGTCATCGGCTGAGGCGGCGGCATTTAATGCTGCCTTTTGGGCGGAAACGGAGGAAGGGCGGGAGATAGGGCGAGTCTCGGGGGCGGGACTCGGATGTGTGTGGGGCGTGGCCGGGGTCCCTGGAGGGGCAGGGCCGGCAGAGTTTGTAGGATTAGGCGACGCAGTGGAAGATTCGCTTCGGAATGCTGAATTGTTCATAAAAGGACTCGCGACGGGAGCTCCTGACAAGCGCACTTTGGCCTCCTGGTGGTTGGGCGAGGCGAGCGGCGCCGGGCCGTTGGTCTGCATGGGCGCGTACTGCGCTGGCGACGGCATCGGCTGCCCGAACGGCGACATGCCGGGGTTGCCCGCGCCCGCACCCGCGCTACCAGCGCTGCCCACGCCCACGCTACTGCCGCCGCCGTTCGGCGTGTGCGCCATCTAAAAATACCACATTTGCATTACCAATATTATAATTTCATGTTTTCATTTATTTATATATTACGCAAATGCAAAATAACAAGTCACTACAAAAATACAAATATCATTAAATAGACTGAAATTTGTATGTGAAAGTAAAAATACATACCTGATTGGGACTGGGTCCAGGTGGACCAACAAGGTTAGACTGGAATGCCATGCGGCTAGTGGGCATAGCCAACGGCGCCATTCCTGGCGAAGGTATTCTTAGGCCCAAACCCGGTGCAGTCCCTAAGCCAGGCCTCGCCAATCCCACACTGGGTCCCACGCCTGGTCCAACACTTGCTGCGACTCCTACTCCAGGGCCGGGTCCTAAACCGGGCGCTCGCACTCCTAGAACGCCTCCCGACATTATGCCTGATTGTTGTAACTGCTGTTGTTGTTGTTGTTGCTGCTGCTGTTGTTGCTGCTGCTGATGTTGCTGTTGTTGTTGTTGCTGCTGCTGCTGTTGTAATTGTTGTTGTTGCTGCTCTTTTCGTTTTTGTCTTTTTTCTTCTAATTCCTGTTTCAAGATAAAAAAATATTAATTTAAAATGACTGTAGGCAAACAAATTTAGTATAAACTCTTAACTCTTTAAATAAGAATATTATTTACAAAATAAACGCTTAAACATCTGAACACGAAGATACGTAATCGATAATCGTGCCCCGAAAATGAACACCAGATCACATGCTTCAGTTGGATAAATAATCACAAACTCATGTGCAAATATTGTCGGATTTCCTTTTTCTGTACTACTTTATAAAAATAATCACGCAAGTGTTTTTCAACAATAAAGATTCAGATCTTACCTTTTGTATCTTGTATATTTTTTCGGCAAGTAAGTGGTAGTATTCAGAACGCGTACTGGCCATTTCATACATATCGCCTTCTACTTTTCTCGCATATGCGACCAAATTGTGCATTCTTTTGTCAAGCATTGCTGTTGGGTCTGGAGTCGGAAAGATAGCTTGGACCCTGTAGATCAATAACTCAATGTAAATATCGAAATCTTATACATTTACCATGCAAATTTAACTACTTTTAAATTGTAAAAAAACACAATAAAATAGAATGATAAAACAAATATATATATATATATATATATATATATATATATATATATAACTTTTACAGATTTGATATGAATACTAACAGTTTATGAACAAGGTGGTTTCTGAGATCAGCTGTTATAGACTGGTGCCACTCCTTGGTTCCCGACACTGGGTTGGCGGTAACGGGTCCGCCAGGAAGTTGTAAGGTCCCAGTACTCATCTGTAATCATTCAAAATCTTAATATGCTTGACACGTCATTATATTAAGGCGTAGGGAAGTGATGACCCCATCGCCCGCTGACGGAACAGTTAAGTGACAAAACTGCTAAATCAGGGCAGTCAGTGACTTGCCAAGAGATGTGAGCGCCTCGGCAGAGATTGTGGGTGCAATAGCCCGTTTGTGCTTATGGGTCTGGGCATCTCACAGCTAGTGACGCGTGATGGAAAAACAAAGGGCCACTGCCTGGGGGTATGTCTCGGATAGGTATGGCTCGGATGCATCGCATCTTTGCTGAGTTTGAGCTACATATCTGTTTCCGTCACGAAGAAAAACCTGGCACACCAAGTTTGGTACATCGTGCACTCAAAATATTTGATGATGCCGAACTCGAATGACTACGGCGTGAGGCTATTCGCTCATTGGATGTGGCGACTATGACTGTGGATGCCACTCCACAAGCTACTGTTGTGGATACCGCCATAGATCCCCTAGTTGTGGTTGATTCAGATGATGATAGAATAATCATTCAGAAACTAGAGCAAATGAGGAGCACATTAATGAAGAGGCAGTTATGGAAACGCGCAGTGCGCTCGAGAATTGACCGCGACTTCCCCGCATACCCCTAAGCAAGCGGGATCGGGCTGTCGTGAGGGCTCTAAACCCAATGCTGATGACCTATTTGGAAGCCAGCCGGGAACTTAGCGAGAGAGACTCAGACAGTATAGCTGGACGTTCTAATAGACAAAGTAGCGCAATCCCAGCCTGCAGAATAAGAATTGAGAATCGTATCGCAAAGGCTAGGGCCCTCATCGGCAGAGTGATTTCCTTTAGGGCAGGCAATAACAGCGTTTGCTGGGACAAATATCAGTTTGTCCCGGCCAGATATAACGCAAAAACAAACTGAGCGTATAGATGACCTGAAGCAAAGAATTGCGGCTTGGGGAAAGCGGATACAGCGATGTACCGAGAGGTCGACACTGTTTAACCAGAATCGTTTCTTCCAGAGTGAGAGAGACTTTATATAAATCGTTGGAGCAAACAATGATGCATCCACCGTCGCATTATAACGTGGTCAGTGATCAGAGCCTATAAGCCACAGCTGGGGCTTTTGGACGGAAGTTGAGGCAAGTCAATATGCGAATGCTACATCCATGGACCCCGTCATCATAACATATAAAAAGTGCGATAGAGTTGACGACTTATAAGTTGATTATAGTTTTCTAAAGCACAACACAAGTATACTGTTAGTTTGGAAAAATGATGTAGCATATAAGAGTATGTGTGTGAGTAAAAGTGATAATGAGAGTATTAATGGCACTTACGAGCTGGTTCTGCTGCTGCTGCTGCATGTCGGGTATGGGCTGCTGCGCGTAGACAGGCTGCAGCGCGGGTTGCTGCGGCTGGGCTTCGGGCAGCGCGGGCGCGCGCGGCGCCGGCATTCGTGCCAGCGGGCCGCGCGTGAAGCCCAGCCCGCCCGCCATGGACGTGGGACACGCGATGCCCAACGCCTCGTACGCGCGCTTCATGTCGCCGGGCGCTGGCGCAGCTGTGCCCGCCGCCGCACCCGCGCCTGCGCCCGCCACCCCTGTGCCCGCCACGCCCGCACCCGCACCCGCGCTCGCGCCCACCGACACGCCCGCTCCCACGCCCGTCGTCGCGTTCGACACTATCGCTGTTCAAATTAATCAAATTTAAATATTAAAGGTGGCCATATCATTAACATCGGTAATTAATACCTATTTGTTATTAACTGGATGAACTTTTTTACTATTACAAATTTCTTCTAAACAAGTAGTCTGTTTGAAAAATACATGATTAGTAAAATTAAAAAAAAAATGTTTAATAAATGAAACGAATCTAACATCTGAGAATTGGATCCTTCAAGCTGTAATCCTCCCCAATGATTGGTTGTTGTAATTACCCTGCATGTGATTACCTCGGTTTTTACACTGTCGTTAGATTGTTATGCATTATCTATACATTATCACTTTCTTAGTTGCTTATGAACTTTAAAATTTTCACAGACACAAAAAATCTTCGTGCATTAACGAAGTTTTCTTTAATATGCACAATAGAAGTAAGAGAAAAGATAAATGGTGTTGGAATATTAAGGAAAAACAAGTAAAAAAATTGACAAGCACAGAATAATGGCAAATCTAAGAAATTAAAGAAACATAAATAAAAAGATTTGGACCAATATGCCTGTCTCTGGGCCGATCGTGAAAGCTAAGGCAGAGAAGTTTTCTGGAAAACTTTGCTTATTGGCTTTCAAACATCAGAAGGATGTCCCAGAAAGTTCAAGCAACATTACCATATCACCTATGATAAAATTAATGGAGAAACACGAAGCGTTGATACAATTTTACTAACAACTGGATAAATAGTGTGGCCAAAGTTGAAAGAAAGTATGCTCTAATTTTCTTTAAATTAGCCCCCCAATAAAACATTGAAATTTAAAGGAGAAAAGTAGGTACAAGAAAACTCATTAAGAACGTATTACAGTGAATTTTGCTGCTAATATGAATGGCACCGAAAAAAGGAAGCTAGTGATAATAGGCAAATCAAAAAATCTTCAATTTTTAAGAACATTTAAACGATTGCCAGTCACATATTATAACATTAATAAATTGGCCTGGATGACAAGTCACTTTTTGAAAAAGAATTGCGAAGATGGTATACAGATTTAAAAGGACGAAAGTGTTCGAAAGTGCTTCTTGTCGACAACTGCCCTGTTCACCCTGTTATATCTAACTTTCAAAAGAAAGAGTTAGCATTTATTCCACCATACATGAATAGTGCCCTACAACCAAAGAAATTCTTAAATGTGTAAAGGTGTAAAGTGAAGAATTTTTTAAAGATTTCTATCTAATCAATTTCTACAAAAATAAAAAAGAGCTTTAATTCATTCTTATTCCATTGTAGGATTTTTTTAAGCAAACAAACTCTGTATATTACCCGAGGGGGACACCAAAACTTGAGAAGGAATTTAAATGCCCAAAATGTGTCAATAACATAATATTTTGATAGTTGTCGATCCATTTTAAATATTTGAAATTGTCACATTGATGATATCTTATTCATTTTTATATATTTATTGTCGTCTGCTGCTACAGCTTCTTATATTACAACACTTTATTTAAGGTGGATGCGTCGACCGTCCGCCCATACATTTTTTAACCAACATATACACTAAACACAGACACTTTTCTTTAAAACTAATCATTTTATAACTTCTCTACAATGAAATGTGTACGCGTTTTACCTTTATAGGCAATAACTTACATTATATACTGAGAAAAACAATAGTGAAATCCCGAAAATTTTTGACACTTCTTTAGTGTGCGTGACTTTTGGCAAGCAAACGAAAGGCGACGTTTAAACATTGGCACGCTAGATGGCATCCAAGTGATCTTAAATAATTCTGATAAATCAATATCTTAAGTTCAATAATTGGTTAATTTCCTTTCCAACCGTTAAAAAAAAACAGTATAAAATAACATAAAATAATGACCTTAGACACCTATGTATTTTTGTAAACAATTTTATTACTTATTTATAACAAACTGATAGGAGTATAGTTGCCGACACGAGTCATGAGCACAGATAAACTGTGGTGGGAGGTAGACACTGTCGGGCAAAATTATTGGGTACCTTTATTATTTCCATTCGTAATTGAATATTTTCGCCGACTTTTATGAAAATGTTTACTCGAACACATCAACTTTTACTTTGATACAGTAATGTTGCAGATATTCGTGTCCGTTATTTTATTATCTACTATAAAGTATTTAATGTGTACCTGGTGGTTATAATTGATTATTTTATTAAAAAGAAGGAAGAGGTGATACGCCTTCCATAAAATCTGGTGTTGCGGTGTGCCGTACAGTAGCTACTGAGACATTAGTCACCTCAGCAGTCTGTTTATATACGTCTATGATGTTTTTCGCAGTACCTAATTTTTTCATATAACTAAACACTAAATAGACGATTTGTCAAGATTGTCTATTCAACACCGAATTCTTCCTTCTCTGCATATTTAGAGCGAAATCAGAACACTCAAATTATAACAACAAAAATAATTAAAAACATGAAATTACAAAAACAATTAACGACGAGGTAACAAAAACAATTAAAGAAAATAAACTAATTAAAAAAGTTATCACTAAAATTATTGCTCTGAAGTGTACGGAAGCCGAATGATACGTTCGAAACCAATAGACGACGAGAATCAACTGATGACCAATCACGTTGAACGTTAGCGTGGTCAACGACGTATAGACCAATAAAAAATGTGCTCACGACTTATGTCGGCAATTATACTAACGTATTCCTGACCTTGAATTGACGAAACAAAAGCGTTGCCAAACTTCGTTCACTTGTTTGACTTGTTATAAAATATATTCTGATTTCGGTTGTTACGCGCTATGATTTGCGCGCGGAATTTCTTGTGTATTATACATATTTTGTATGTATGTTTTCATTGATTCGAATTGCAATATTTCTCTAGTATATATTTGATACTATATTGTAATTTATCGTAGGTATAGTAATTAATTATTCTAAAAACGCAATTATGTTTTCGGTAGTATTATTAACAGTAGGCTGGCCCGTGATTTTTCTGAAATATTGTCACAATACTGATTACCTACGTCATACGTGTCAGTGTTTCATATATGTACCTGTTTGAATATGTTTTTGTTCAATAATAAATACAATTATTATAAATCGGTAAACTACCAAAGAAGTACAAAATTAAACTTGCAAACACTTGCTAAATATGGTTTTGCCGGGTTACACTAAACAACCTTTACGCATTTTGCAAACAGTTTCAGACATACACCAATTATTATTTTTTTATATTTTGTAGAGCTCAAGTTCACGGTTATAGTGCGTTCAGAAACAAATATAATTCAGTTACATAAAATCTTTTTTTCTGTTCCGTGCTTTATTGTTTATAAATAAATAGCTTATTGTAATCTGCGTTATATTTTTCTTATTTG